CGAGTGCATTGATCATGTGAAATGTTGAGTGACACATGGTGTGCAAAATTAGGATTTCGTTATCTTCAAAGATGGAACATGGATTTATGTAAATGTGCATAAACTAATTGACGACTGCAGTTGTTGACTATTGGAATTTTCTTTAGCTGTAGAATTCTCAATCTCTGAAGTCTTTATCGTTTATCCCGACACTTCCTGGACTGCATCCTTCTACGACCTGATTTCGCACACTGAGTAGCTATGTTTAAGGAGCGTATAACACTAAGCCGTTGCTACGTTTGCCCGTAACAATAGAGAAGTCCACTCAAATAACGGTACCAGATCCCTTGCTAAAAAGCTAGAACCGACCTTCCCAGGCTAATACCAGAACAAGACCACAGCTCGTGTAGAGAGCTCTATTCACGTCAGTCACGTGCGGTGTTCAGTCCGGAAGTCGAACAAATTCAAGTCAGGTTGACCTTGACTTGATAAAAAGTGTAGCAAAACAAATGTTAGTACATAACTGTAAATAGTATCAGAAACCAATCTTGGGGAATCATGGATCCCCAACACCTCTCCTCCTTGAAAATCTGATAACGCTTCTTCTTTGGGTTGACTTGGAGTAGTGTTGGTTTCTGTCGTTTTTGGCTACTCTGCCTTGGAGGTGAAGACCTGTCTGCTGCTACTTGATCTCTGTCGGTCTTCACTAGCGTTGCCATCGGTGGCGGCAACTGAAATGTGTCGAAAAGCACATCCTGCGGGATGCTGGTCTGGCGATTTGCTGTCGCAGATACTTTTCTCAATCGGAGTTGGTTGCAATGCCTTGACCACATGTCGCGACCCACTGTCACGTCAAACATGACCTTGCCGTGTCGGCGTGCAATAGTCCCTTCGATCCACGGGTCATGCCTTAGTCGATAGTCACGAGCGTACACGGCTGTTCCAATTTCATTTGGCGTGGTAGATTTCGTTCTCGGAGGCTGCGGGCGGTTGTCCTGTGCCGGAATCATTGCGGAATTTGTTGTCCGCAATTTGCGGCCCATGAGTGCCTCAGATGGCGACTGTCGATTTGGTAGAATATCGTTTGGTGTTGTACGATAGACCAGCAGAAAATTCTGTAGACTTTCAAAAGATGTCCTTCCTTCCCCACGGGATTTTAGGAGGGCTCTCTTCAGTGTGTCGATGAACCTTTCGGCCTGTCCGTTGGACTGTAAGTGGTAGGGTGGGGAAAGCATGTGTGCAATAGCATGCTGTCGACAGAACTCCTTGAAATGTTGAGAGGTGAACTGTGATCCGTTGTCTGAGACAATAGTTTCCAAAATCCCATGGCGGCTGAAAATCTGAGAGAGAACCTGTAATGTTCTCGTTGTTGTGGGGGAGGTCATTGGGACGATCTCCGGCCATTTTGAGTATGCGTCCACGAGCACAAGGTACGAGACTCCGTTGATTGGTCTAGCAAAATCAATATGGATCCGTGACCAGGGTTTGTGTGGTTGTGGCCAAGGGACTGAAGGAACCTTAGGAGGGTTCTTGGCGGCCTGCTGGCATTGGAGGCAACTCTTGTCTACGTCTGTGATTTGCTGATCCATATTTTGCCAGTAAGCGAAACTGCGGGCAATAGACTTCATGCGACCTATGCCGGGATGACCAGTGTGAAATTGACAAGGAACCCGTAAACGCAATGATTTGGGCACCACAACGCGTTCTCCGAACATCAGGCAGCCGTCTATAACGCAGAGGGCATCGCGTCGCTGGAATAACTGCTAAAGATCTCCAGTGGGAGAGCGCTTTAGCCATTTGTTCTGGACGTAACGGGTGGCCTTCCCCAGTGTGTTGTCCGAGGCCGTTTCCGTTTAATGTCGAGAAATGAAACCGGCAGCGCACGAACCGTTTGAGATATCTGCTGGGTGATACCTTCGTCTACGTAGATGGCAGCGATAACAGCATTTTCCTTGGTAGTGGACTGGTTACTAATGTGCCGTGATAGGGCGTCTGCCTGCCCAAAATCCTCTGTGCGACGATACTGGATTTCGAAGTCGTAGCCCAATAAGATAAGTGCCCATCTTTGCAGGAGGTTCGCGGAGTGAGCTGGGATGTCTGTTTTAGATCCAAAACTTGATAGCAACGGCTTGTGGTCTGTCAGCAGAGTGAATCGTCGGCCATAAATGAATTTGTGGAACCGGCGGACAGCGAAAACCAAAGCGAGAGCTTCTTTCTCAATCTGTCCGTAACGCTGTTCTGTCGTTGTCAGCGACCTGGATGCGTGCATTATGGCCTTTTCTGTGCCGTCGGGGAAAACGTGGAGGATGACGGCTCCGATGCCCTTGGCGGAGGCGTCAGCTGCAACAACAATTGGTAGACTTGGATCATAATGGGTCAGCAGCAGGTCCGAACTGAGCATTGATTTGAGTTGACAGAAGGCCTCCTCGCACTCGTCGGACCAAACCCAAGGGACGTCCTTTCCAAGCAGGTGATTCAGTGGTGGTCGGACATTGTGCATGGAAGGTAGAAAAGCCGAGTAATAGCTGATGAGTCCCAAGAAGGAGCGCAACGAGGGAACATCTTTGGGAGTCGGCATTTGTTG